GCTAAGGGGAAGTCGTGTTTGACGAACCTACTAGCATTTCTTGAAGAGGTTATGGCCAGGCTGGATAAATGTTATGGAGTTGAAGTATGCTGCCTTGACTTTCAAAAAGCTTTCGACTCCATCAGCCATCGTCTTCAAGTGCNGTGGATCGATGAATACCACCGTGGGAGAGCCTTCCATGTTACGATGGAGGGGGCAATGTCGGGTAAGGAAGCAGTGTGCGTTGGTGTCCCTCAGGGATCGGTATTAGGGTCGCTACTTTTCATCATCTATATCAACGATCTACCCGAAGAACTGGTAGGGCTGTGTTTTGCGTTTGCAGATGATGTCAAGCTAATAAGGGAACCCACCTCTGCAAATGCAACAAGACCTAGATCGCCTGCAAAAGTGGGCGATGGAATGGGAGCTTCCACTGAACACTTATAAGTGCAGAAAGCTTCTACTCCAGGGAAGCCAGCCACCATCGACTAACGGGCTTCTGAACCTGGATAACCCTCGGAAAATAACCGAAACAGAGCAGATGAGGGATCTAGGAGTGCTCATACACGAGACTCGCAAACCAGCCAAGTAGTGTCTCTTAGCGGCGACAAAAGCAAGCAGAGCGCTCCACCAGTTACTGAGAACTGTGGCCTCAAGTGACAGATTAGTCTTTCTCCCGCTCTACAAAGCGTTTGTGAGGCCGCACTTAGAGTACTGTGTGCAAGCCTAGACGTCATCCCTAGTGAAGGACTCGGTGATACTAGAGAATGTACAAGTGAGATTCACAAAGCGAATCCGGGGGATGGAAGGGTTGGACTAACACGAAAGGCTAAGAGAACTTAAAATGTTCTCTTTAATCAGAAGAAAATTAAGGAGGGACCTCATAGAGGCTTTCAAGCAACTTAAGGGTATATCCAGTATGGGAACGCAGCTGCTATCCAGGAATAATAACCTCGCACTGGGATGAAACAGAATGGAGCTTGAAAAACCGAGAGCACCAAGGAGTATCCGGGCAAATTTCTTCGCTCATAAGGTTTTAAACCCTTGGAACAAGTTACCAGATTCGGTTGTTTCAGCAGCCTCAGTTGAGGAGTTCAAGAGTCGCCTAAATGCAACGCGGACGGAATGTGGTGGTCCAGGCCTACACGATGGCGCCTACCCTGGAACGGCGCCAGGACAATTGCGATCAACCAAGTTTGAGTGCCGACGTCAATGACACGTGCATGGCTTCTGAATACATCTCATTGATAGATGGTGCCAGCCAATCCAAGACAGTACAGATAGAAGCAAGATTATGCAAGCAGTACTGCAATCCCATTGGTGGAAGCCAAGATAGCCAAAGATCTCCCTTTGTGCATATTATTTAACCACCTTCATTTCTGTCAATAAACAAATTACTACTTGCTACCATTCCTGTGGCCTTTTCCTCGCGCCTCGTTCTCGCGGGACATTGCGAATCCGTGACAGTGTGGTTCAGTGCTTCTGAGATCCAGTCCGTGATGGTTGATTGTTGAATCGGGTCTTGTAGTCATATTGCCTGGTTGGTGTTCTGAACTCCGTGCGTATTACTACGATTACTACAATCATTACACGGAACTTCTACCGGAAGCTGTATAAAGGGACCAAACAGGACAAATGGTGTAGGCATGCATGCATGTCCGTGTGTATAAACTTGTGAGTACTGGAAAAGACCTGAATGTCTCTGGTGGATATACAGTAGACTGCTCAGTGTGGGACAACCACAAAAGCACCATTATACAGGGTAGTTGAGCATTTGGGCTCAGGCGGACACATGCTCTGGGTCACTACTTGAGTGCAGATGAACTAAATAATCTGGAAGTATGACTTCAGGTATGATGAAGGATGCTGTTACACATTTTTACCATTCTTCCTTGTCCTATACACTATCCAATTTGCGAACGTTCTCCCCAACTAGCTAAAGTGTGTGCCGAGCAAGCCAAATCTCTTAACCGAGGGGTGCCCGGTTCCGAGGCTTACTCTTGCCCCTTCAACTCTTCTTAACTCTTCATCACTATATGACGAATGACGATCAAGTTGGAATGATTCCTTGGCTGTTGTTTGGGATCAGAGATATTTGTTCTAGTGATATTTGGTCCCTTTATAAACAGTCAGCGAGGTAAAGAGGCCGGTGTATTTAGGGACCTTTCCACCCCGACGTTTGTTTTAATCTTTCAATGCGTTCGCTGTGGTGCAGGGCAAAAGCTGCAGCTTTTCAAATGGGAAGGACATGTGATCTATTACTTTAGTTGAAGGATGCCCTCGAAACAGACTGCGTCAGCTGGGGATCAAAACCTATCCATATGCGTCCGCATTCGACCAATGTCAAAAGAAGAATTGAAGAAAAATGCGTTGAAAGTTTGCTATCGTGTTGACGAAAAGGTAATAAAAACCATTTTTGATCAAATTGCATGAGTAATATTTTTTTGTTCTACTTGGTTCTCATTTGCGGTAATCGTTGTTCATACGTGCGGTATGTGTATTTTGGATGGGTCTCCCAGTTGTAGATGGGTCAGGCACGCCGTGAGATATGGATTGTAGGTGGTTAGCGTCGATCCAATAGGTATTCCATCAGTTTAGTGCACCGGCTTATGCTAAGGTTTAAAGCAAATCGAAAAAGAAGGCTATAGTTTTCGGTTGGTAGAGCCCGGCTTATTGAGTATCCCTCCGAGTATCCCCTTGGAGGTTTTAAAATGGACACCCGAGGGGGACACTCAAGGGGATACTCAGGGGTATACATTTGGTACACTTAAGAGGACAATCGTGCTAATTGGGGGGTAAAATGGTAACCGCATTCGTATGACGCAGTTGTCGACCGTCGTCATGCCCGTTTGCATCCATTTGTCAAGAGTAAGAGAAAAATAATAAATGTAGGCAGCATTTCGTGGCTCTGTTTCGGATAACTCTGCCAACACATCAGCGGGTTTTTCTCAATGGGTTTTCGCTCTCTAAATCGCGGTTCTCTTAAATAGTAATGTTTCTGGAAGAATTATATGCACAAAAAGTTCCCAAAGTTGACTATATACTTAGGAAACATGCAACAGATATATATTCCAAGAGTTTCATTGGCGTTTAAGAAGGGAAAGGGGTTCGATTATTATGAAATATTATAGTACGACTATTCTGTGTACTGATTAGTCATTAATCAGGTTTATATTCGAACGGCTTTATTTTTGATATAATGGGAGTGAAGTAATAAGATTATAACAGGTCCCTAGAATATGAACTGGTGAGTAGTAACTGAATTCAAAGTAAATCAAAAAGGTCATTTCGGGTGAGTCGTAGGAAAATGCGCAAGGCCCTGTTGCAACCCTGACGTTATCTGCGCTTGATTTTGCTACAAAAGTACGCGTTGCATGACACGCTATATAACGCAGTATTCCCGCGTTTTTACTGGCAGGGAACTTTCTTGCGGTGGTATACCACCAATGAGGAACAATTCCAAAATTTTTTTTGGAATTATTCCTTTTTACATGGTACTATGTACTATGTCTGGAAAGCAAGTGTTTCTTGTACCAAAGAATCAGTCATTATAAGTTTGCGTTCCAAAGCAACAGATTAGAACCCAACAAACTATCTTTACTGATCGTTCCATATCGCTATTCGATGAACAATGCGTTCTGATTCTAGTGCCGAAAACGCCAGGTGATTTGATTTTCTTCTTAATTTTACAAAGATAGCTATCTTTGCATCGACATCTAGATGTCGATGCTCAAGGTGGAAATGTTTCCAACAGGATTCAAAATTTTCACCTACAGTTAGAATAAAATGTCGTCCACGCAACTTTTGTAAAACGCGAAAAGTATCCGTTTGTTTTTATTTCAACCGTTTCTGAGAGTACATATGCTGGAATTGAACTTAGTTATTTTCTCTTATCCACCCCATTAGTTTAGTTAAATGTGGCTTCTTCAAACTCAAAACGAATGTTTTCATTACTAAAATACTGGGTTTTGTCAACAATAGAGAGTGTGAGACGAAATTTTAACATAGTTCTACACGTTTTCCCCGGTCCTTATTTAGTGGATAAGTGCTACTTAGTTGTATAAATCTATTTGAATGAATGGTTGCTAGTGTTTAACCAGTAATTGGGTTAAATTGAGCCCTGAATGATGTTGAGTGGGCAAAAGGACTCAAGTTCATGAAAAACTTGTTCAACAAATTTAGTTATTATTTGCATTTTATTATGAATGTTTCTCAATCAAGAGACTTCGTTTCAAAGACAAAATTAGTTGATATCCTTCGGAATTTGGTGCCAGATATCCACTTAAGGTGGTTTACATTTCTGTAAAAGGTAAACCAAAAACACTGGTTGGCTAGAAATGAAAAGTTTATCTCAGACCTTTTCCGGTCAGGAGCAAAGAGAGAAGATTTGTGTTGTCTGATACCATTTCCCATTTTGTTTCTATTGAAGTTTACCCGCTAATGTGTGAAATAGACGGTAACCTTAATCAACAATTTATGTACCGTGCTTGACCCAAACAAGTTTAGGTTTGTTCAGTTTATAAAACCATTAAAAATGCACCCTCGTGCGGCTATTTTGGTTTCTGTACTTTGAACATATGTTTGGATAAATGAATAAATAAGTGGAGGGAAAACCAGAGCGATGGAAGCAGTGTGATGATAAAGAGGGAAAATTCAGGTAAACTAGCGTGGAGATTATCGAACTTCACTGTTTATGGCCAGTTTCTCTAACCGTCAAACCGCTTATACCTAGGTCTACAAGAACAATGTCTAGCAAAACCCTCATGTTCACGGTCTGCTTATCCCCATGCTAGTGTTCAAATTGAAAACGCTTGAAAGTTTTTTCTCACCACATGCATCGGAAAATATCGTAAATCGAGCTGTTGGCAGGTGTGAAAATTGCTTCACCTTGAGACATGAAAATCAAACAATTGCTCCAGTGGATTAGGGTGATTGCTCAAACCTCTGAGTCTAACCTCAGTGTTGCTGTAAAGTGATGAGACTGGCTCATTACGGGAACAGGATAAAAATAAATTTTCGGTGTTCAAACACCGCCGTCTGTGTCGCAATGCGCCAGTCTTGTGGGGAAACCGAACGAGCAATGCTTAGGTTAGGCGTAGAGTTTTGAGTGATCGCGGTAGTCTGCTGGAGTAAATGATTGACCTCTACAGATTAATTTGGTTTGGACATGTGATGTGCATGTCACCGAATGGGTTACCACGGCTAACGATGTTAAGCGAGGTAGGAAGCAAGTGGAAGAAGGCTGGATGCGATCAAACTACGACCCAGCATAACAGTATGAAAACTATAACCGGGACATTGGGTCACACATGTCCAGTTAGGCTCCCTGAATGGGACCCCGGGATCACGGTAACCGTTGGTAAGAAACGCTGGGTAATACACCTGAGTGTCACAAACAGTGGCACTCCTGTGTGTACTCCGTATTATTGCAATACTACTCTAAAAGAATTTTTTTATCTTCCCATTAAACTTGCCCTTAATATTTCAATATTCATTCTGCTCATTCATCAAAATGGGCAGCCAAAAGACAGTAACCAACATCGGCGCACGAAAGTGCATGGTTAATGTTTGGAAAACCCAAAAATAGTTACTTGACCAATCATCCCTATAGACTGGTGCAACGCCGTGTTATAACACATTCGGTCTATCCTCTTCCAAGTCTCTACATTATAGTGACCAAACCAACCAAACGGATGCACCATACATTTGATCCTTTGACTTTTTTGCCGCAATGAATATCTCAAGTTGACAAACGCTAACCGAGCTTCCTGTATATGTGCCGAAACTTCATTCTTGATGGCTTATTCAGGTGTGGCTTAGCTGTCAAAATACCAAAGTTTGTCCTCGTTTTCTATTGTTTCTTCACTTATGGTGAGACAAGAAGCTGAACTAACGCAGTTCTGTAGCAATATTTTACACTTCAAATCGCTACTCACGGTCTTTTTTGGAGCTCTTGATGAGCTGGCATTTAGGGGTCCACATATTGTCACATTTGGCATCTAGAGAGCTGGGTTGGTGGAAGTCCAATGAGGCAGCTGAGTTTGAGGAGATAAATTGTCTGTGCTTAGATCGTGTGCCAGAATTAATTATTGTTTGATTGAAGTTTGGATAGCGGTCATAGAATCCTTTGGCTGGCGGTGCCATGGGAGGGCTTTTGTCTCTTGTGGGAGAAATTCATGCTTGATAGAAATGACCGATGATCTGAATGAAGTCAAAGTATGCGATCTCCGTTGTATGTTTGGTTGGCTGGGCTTGCATGCGGACTACCTATGCGTCCTTATGATTCGTCCAGGGATTATACTTGAGCGTTGATGTCACCGACGACTACTACGATATCTCTTGATCAAACACTTTGAAGCAGTCGAGGAAGGGCATTGCACAATTCTTCCTGCAAATTAGGTACCCTGCGCATTCATTTGGTGCAAAGATGGACATGACGGATCAGCACCCACACTTAGTTCTGTTGCTGTTGATCGAAATAAATCAGTGAGACGCATATCTCAAAGCCAGTTTCTGAAAGCAAATCAAGAAGCGATCAATCGACCTTGATACCTAGCATAATCCTACTACCAGCAACGACCTGGTGTCAGATTCCGAATAAAAATGTACACGGTGGTGGAAGTTTGACAATGAACTCGGGTCGGCCGAAGGCACGGTGATAATTCAAGCACAGTCTTGCTGGTGTATTTAAGAGACATATGCTGTGGCTGACTTCAAAGTTTCAAGGGTTCTAGCTAGGGTAGTATTTGGGCTAATCCGATAGTGGGCGGAAATCTAATGAAAAAAAGTGCAAAGTTGATTTTGGTTTGATTAATTTTATTGCTCAAGGCTCATTTACCTGAGTAGTTAAATTCTGAGTTACATTCTTGCAGTGGCAGAAACGAGAGGTATGGTTCATCACTTAAAGGAAGAGATAATCAAACAAGTGCCTGAGAATTTAGGGTACGATATATTTTGCAGCAACCCACACCGAGTAAGTGTTTTCTTTACGTGCCCTGACTGCTCCAGTCAGACGACAAGGAGTGTGGTTAGTCTGATGCAAGAACTTGACCGAAGCTTCTAGAGACCGGTTAAGCACGACCTTCAGATTAGATTTCAGTGTTTTGCTCACTGGTGCGTTGATTACCCTTGCGCTGTTTGGGGTCAGTCCTTAGCCTCACAAAACTATTGAGAAAGATCAAACATGGACGATACAGCACATTTTTGGTTGAAGGCTACTCTGCTTGGGCTCATTTTCTGTCTCTGATCCCCCAAATAAAATATATAAAAAACGTGTGCAGTTATTTTGACGCTCTATATATAGCTGCAGCAGGCGCTGAGTTCCAATGAAGTGCGATAATTTTTCTCTCGCCGAAGGAAGCCGTAAAAGTAACCCGCTCCTATGTCTATGTGGTTGGCGTGTTCTGATTAGTAATATGCCTTGTACTGCGTTTATTTGCTGTATTGATCTCTGCAGGGGCGAGAGTGTATAATACCCTGGAGCCAGGGGGTGCCCAATCAACTGAACTTGTGCGACTGAGTTTGTTTTGACCTTTAGCTATTGATCTGTCAGGTATGACTAAATCTCGATGGCTGCGGAAGTTATCCTATACAGATAGCAGGGTAATGGAATCCCGAAAGACATCATAGCCTGTCTCTCATAATGAAACCAAACGGATGTGGATAGGAAAACGCAGCAGTGGTACATCTATCAGCCGGGTGATAAGAACTTGAATATAAACGATTGCTGGGAAGTTTAGAATTCCCAGTACATCTTGCTTCTGGAGAACTCATTGTTCGGTGACGGATTAATTCTGAATCCCGCCTTTAAAAGCGGGATTTTGATCAAAACATTTGTCGAACTTAGGTTCTTCCTCCCTTTGATCAACCAGTTGGGAAGTTTCACAGCTTTTTATTCTTATTATCGAATCTTCAAAGATGCGTGTAGTTGGAGTCATTATTCAGAAACGTTTGATTGATAATGAAAGTGCAGATTATTCAGATTGAGCTCAGAAATGGAATATGTTTCAGGTGATGTTTATCACTGGATACAAAACTTAGTCACAGATAAAATCTTTTGAATACGTGAGGAATATTTTAATTCTAAATGATCAAGGCCCACATAAGAGCCGTAATACACACGGATTTATTTTTATTTGACGTTAAATGAAAATTTTAAAACATACTTCATAAATTGACCCGGTAGTGGTAATATCAGTTCATAATAAAAGACAAAACACCAGCCTCTTAATAATAAGAACGGTAGAGAAATGATGGGACTAGAAAACAAGGGCTTTCTGGGGATGTGATGAGACCCCAAAAACTTCTGCATTACCTCAAATGAACTTATCCATCAAGTGAATGTAGTATTCTACGAAGAATGCCCAAATTGCTAAGCGATTCAAACTGTACGGCTTAGCTGGTGCACCGGTTTAGTGACTGTCACCGACATACTTTGGACCCTGTGGTTTGAAGTTCGAACCCCTCCACTGCCACTCGGATTTGGTGATAGGCAGGTTTACTGTCGTCCGATTCAGTACCGCGTGAGGCCCTATTCGTTTCATCACTCAATCTTCTGGGATTTAGGTTGCCAGTTTTCATCACTGATCTTAGCAAGTACGTGTTCAACTATGTCTGCTGTTCATCACAAAAATTGTGTGTAATAAAAAAGGGGAATTGCAAATCGACATACTTGGAACTTGGTTCCACATCACTCAAGTTATGCACAACATTGACAAAAGAGTAACTTTTGCGTGGGCACGGACTGAATCTCCTGTAAATAAATCAGAGATTTCGACGCGAGTTCAGTGTGAAAAGTGTGTTTTGTCTCCAATCCAGTTTGATACTCAAGATCAATGCAAATGTCCAAACCAGTTGAATGAATCAGATAGTGAATCTATCCGATTTCGCGTTAACAAAAATATTTTTTTATTTCTGTTTTCGAGTTATATATGAACCATTGTCATCAATAAACTGGTCAGTAAATCAATATAGCGATGTTTGCTTGACTTTCGAGGACCAAGACTAAATGGGCCATCTGATCGGAGGCTTCAACCATCAACCGATTGTATTTAGTAACAATAACTATCGAAAACGTGAACGGCAGACAAGCTTTATGGTCCATAACGAGCCATATAAATCGATATTAGATGTTCGAAACTAAGCTATGTTAATGTGTGACTCAATATAATGAGCACACAACATCCACTCGGTTTTATCTGTTTCCCACATCTATTTCTCTAATTTGATTGAGGACTGAGATTTTTTGAGCCATTTAGCCCCGCACTCTCTTATTTGAATCCAAATAAATTGTTGCATAGAGATGGAAATGTGTTTATGCTTGTAAATCAAGAGTAAATAGAACACAAAAATAAAAAAATAAATATATCACTGGATTACAAGGAAACTTGTTGTCAACGCAGCACAATAATTACCGAAAGGGGGGTGGGTGGGATACAAGGTAGCGTAAGGGTGGTCAGATAGTTAAGTTTAAAAAAGCGAGAGAACAACTTTTTTAATTGTTTGTTTCACCGTACAATTTTTGATATTTTTGTCTTGTTTTTTATGGGACACAGAATTTCAACAGGCAGACAGCAAGGCATTCACGCCACTGATCTCCATTCTAAGCCATTTTTCTCAGTGTCTCTAACCAACGTCAATCATCATCCCTTGGGCCCCAATCTGGAAGGCAGGCTGCACCAACCGAAGCCAAAGTTGAAACCAGCTTCTTTGTACCTCTACGCCATGTCATGGTCTGACCACCGTGGTGCTTCTTCCAGCCATGCCCGGCACGTGCAAAGAGACCACGAAAAGGTAGTCGATGAGCAGGCATACGCAATACGTGACCAAGCCATCGGAGGCGGGGTAGAGCAATTACTTCCTTTAGAGAACGACTATCCACACCCAACACACGACGACGAACCTCGTCATTCCCCACCCGATGTTCCCACCAAATACGAACAATTCTTCGGAGGCATCGGTGGTCAAATACAGACAGTGGATTAGCATCCTCAACGCGGAGGGGCCAGGTCTCGCAACCGTAAGGTAGAACACTGCGAACCGCGGTGATATACATCCTTCCCTTAAGGGACAGTCGGATGTCATGGCGGCGCCACAGGTTGGAAAATGCTGCTTTGGCTTTCGTCATTCGTGATGTGATCTCCTCTCCAAAACCAACACCAGCTGCGATCAAGCTCCCGAGGTACTTAAAGCTCTCAATTACTTACAGCTGATCACCACAGAGGGTGAGTGCAGACACAGGCTCCTGTCAGTCTTGAACGAGCACATGCCATACATGAATACTTCGATCGTCAAGCGGTTTAAAGCGTATTGGACTGCCTGTGTATTGTTACACAGCAATGTAATGTCATAGGCGTATTATAAGTTACGGACTCTGTTTCCTAGACGGAGTTTTGATGCCACTGTTTGCTAAACCGGATAAAGCATTCTGTAGAACATCCTCTATGACAAAGTTGAAAAGGAATGGGGATATAGGGCAGCCTTGTGGAATTCCCCTGGAGACGGCAAAGGCTGACCACAGGCCCTAATCCGACTTGAGTTATGACGATACAACTTTTTGAGGATCGACATATACCTCTCAGGTACTCCATTCCTCAACAAAAAGTTATAAAAATAAATACAAATACAAATTTCAGTATTTTCCATGATACAGGACCGCGGCAGTTCGGCCGGTTCTGATATATGGAACAAATACTTGGCTAATAAGAGAAAACAGGATAAATGTAGACTATCGGAGTTTGAACACCGCTGTCTACGCATCATTGCACAAACCCGTTTGGAAGTCGGACGAACAATGATGAGGTTAGACGCAGAGTTTTAGGTAATCGCGGTTGCCCACTGGAGCAAGTGGTCGACCTCCATAGATTACGTTGGTTGGGACGTGTTACGCATGTAACCAGATAGGCTGCCACGGCGAGCGATGTTTGCCGAGACAGGTAGTGGGCAGAATGAAGTCAAGGGTGGTCAAGCTGAGATTTGACATGAGGATATGAAAACCTTAACCAGGAGTCTGGGTCACACAGATCCTGTTAGGCTCCCTGGTTGGGGACCTCCCAATGATCGTAACCAATAGTTAGAGACACTGAGTGATACGATGGAGTGTACTAAGCAGTGGCGGTACGTTCATCTTCTTAATCTCTTTGTAACATTAATCCACTGGTTTTCTCAACTTTCTTTTTGATCCTACTTCCAACCACACCATTTTTCTCCTACTAATCATCCAAATAGGAAGCCAAAAGACAGAAACCAAAAAAGACGGACGAAAGTACATTCCCTAATTGTTGTTCAAACTGAAACTGAAAAGGTTTTTAATCCATGTTTGTTAATTTTCCTCCATGTGTGAAACGCAAAACATGTATCATTGGGTTATCACAGGAGTAGCTACTGAGGCCTGCCTGATAACACAGTAAAATGTTCATCTATCTCTTGTTGCCCTGCTCCTCTCCGCCCCGTCTACCTCTGCCCATCATTTCTTGCTGTAGTTGATCTCCATGATTGATCCGATGGATGAGGCCGACATTATGCTCCGATCCAAACGATCCAGAAATCGTGAATACACGTTCGACCACGCGTTTGATGAAACCAGCAGTCAGGTTAGTTTTCATTGATCCGGTTGACCAATTGGTTTTAATCACACATCCCACATCTTACAGGAAGATGTGTTTCAGGCAACAACGGCCAGCCTGATTGAACATGTTGCCAATGGTTACAACGCCACCGTGTTCGCTAGCGGGGCAACAGGTACGTTGTGTTGCATAGTGTTCAAATTGTCTCTATCCTATCCCAAATTGGCGATTTATTGGGGGTTAGAGTATCTATCTTCTAGTCAAATTTGATAAAAAAAAATTAACTAAATCTGAAGGTCATCTTTATTTGAGCTCATATGGTTGGAAAGAAGCTGTATTTGTTGACAATAGTATTTACTCTAAAACTATCAATTGGAATTCCAAGCTAACACCTAGATGAAATTAATTTTTGTGGTTCCGCATGAATTGTGTCAAATTTCGTCGGATTTCAAAACAAAAAGTTAATATAAATGTTGCACTCGATTAAACATGAAACACTGACTATTCCGATTGTCTAACTTGACCTGTAATGCATTAGACTTTCTTACAATTCAACCTGGTCACCTGAGCTTTTTGTATGTGCTAAGTTTTACAGTGAAATTCCTCGTGTACAGAGCTTGTGAAGCGTGATCTGAAGGACTACTGTCTTTGCTTAGTTCGCTCTCTCGAATTTCCCTCCGGCCAAATTAGTTGATCCCCTGTCAAAGAACAACTGAGTACAGGATAAGTAGAACTGGAGCTTGGATTGGCTGACTAACTTAATGAGAATTCTGAACGGAAGAACAAGTAGATTAGATAGATTTTTTCCTTGCAGTGACATGAAAGACACATATATTGGACATAACAATAAGAGTAAATGATATCTAGGCCTTTTAAACTTAAAATAAAACAGGTAAATTTAATTGAACCAATCATATTCTACCGGTAACCCTACAAAGCGATTGATGTTTTAGCTGTCACCAATTGAACCGGGTATATCAAAACCCCATCTAGTCGGAATGAACTGATTTCCTCATAGGCAGACAAAAGTAATTTTTGAGTAAGCTACCGGGCGGGGATGAGTTTCGGTGGGGTCGGGTGGAGTTTGACTGTTCGCCCCCTTTCCAGATCAGGAACATTATGTCCCCTGACCGTTGGTTTAGATGAGAATGAACGAGCCGGGCGTTAGCTGACCTCGTTCGGCCGGGTAGGGAAGTGATTTATTTCAAGGCGGATCGACTTATTGAATGAATGGGTTCAGTTTAGGCCCCCAATAGCCAAATGGGTAAATTCCATTGGAGCAGAGGTTCCCTCGAATAACACTGATTCTATTGAACCAAATGAGAGTTTCTACAAATCTGTGACATTGACATGCTAATTAATAACGAAAGGGCACTCATAGTTCTGATTGTGAGTTGGTTATTCGCTCCTGTTTTTTGTTCCGGTGTTTCGGCCGTATCTACAATGTAAGAAGTACTCTAGGTCCTCGAAGCGAAGCTGAGTTGACAGAAGGCCTCCCGGTGTTGTGAGATACTACTCACACATGCGCCTCTAATCGTGGACCGTTTCATCAACTATCCTGTGTGTGTGTGTGTGTGTGTGTGTGTGTGTGTGTGTGTGAGGGAATTCAGAAGACTTGTTCTAAATGAGAGCTTTTGTTGTATGTATGACAATTTACTGATACCCTGACTGATATTTATCATAAAAAACTATCCTCATCCAGGCACCACCTTCTGGAATTATAATACCGGTTCATGTTCTTTGGGCTTGGGACGATATGGGACTGATCGGGTGACGGACAACGAGACAGAAGCAA